GGATAAGAACTTAGCCAGTTCTTGGCCCAGAGTTAATGCCCATCAATGTTCATTATTCTCACTTTATCACGATCTGGCGCAGAAACAGTGAGGGGGATACAAAAAAGTCCATCATTCTCTACAAAACTATTCCAGTGCAGTGAATTTTCATTTAGTTAGTAGAGTGTTTTGTTATAAAAATGTCCAGGGCACTTGGGGAGGCCTGATCATGAGACCAAGTACCAAAATTATTCTGCAACATAGTAGAAGTTGAATTTCTGTAGAGCTTGTGAGGAAAAGTGGTTGAGGAGGGGAGGTGGAAATGAGGAGGACATCAAAATAGTTAGGAAAGAATGGGTCAGTGCATGCAGGCAATGGAGGGTTGAACCCTAGCGGGAGAGAAATTCTGAGGCTTTATTCGAACAGAGGGGTCTAATATTCAATCCAACCTTGTTTACCAGGGTGCACTATAATCTAATATATTACCTTACCAGCTTCTATTAGGACTCAGAAATCTTTCTGTAGACATTTCTATGCACAAAAGTGGGTGCTGTTGGGACTCTGGAAAAGCAAAAATGGTTGTAGAAAGAAAGGGACTTCGGGAAGTTGGTAGAAAAATGGAATTAAAGTAAGAGTTTATTTTGGTGGAAAAATGTTGAAATCTATGCAGTTTTTCATCATATGCATTTTCCATGAAATCTTCGAAGACCTCATATTTTGTGATTTAGGTAGGTAGGCCACTTGCTATGAGCACATGTGAAATTCAAAATGTGGTAGTTGTAGAAAATTGGGACAAGAAGTGATGAAGAGATGCATGAGCCTAACTCTCTCCCCATCCATCTTTGGTTCTATGCCATATGTGGAATGGGATGGAGCCATGTCATTCAGATACAAAAGAACAGAGTAGACCCTGTGCTCAAAGCACATAGGCTCAGTTAGGTGATGGGCAGGGTCATATTTGCTGTCCCATGTCATCTTCATGATGGCTTTATGCATGAATCATTATTAACTCCTTCTAGATGAGAGAACTACGACCCAGAGAGAAGGCTATGCAGAAAATCTCTCTTCCCAGTGCTCTTCCTGGTCACAGCTCTGCTTTAATTCCTGTAATGGTCCATCGAGTCCTAAATACAATGGAGTGGATATGTGGTGGCTGCTGACTGGGAATGATTATGGCTGGAAATGAGAGGTTTGTATTAGGATTCGGAAGTCCTGTCATTATCAAAAAAAGCCTTGGTTTTTTGTGGTTTCCCTGTGGCTATGTGTATCCTGTGTTCAGTTGACTTTTGTGTGCACAGAACTCCACATCCCAGGCTCTGAACCACTGCGGTTTTCCTGTTGATGGCGAAAGATTTCCAACAGATGATGACAGAGGGCTCCCTGGAAAGAGTCTGGTTTCCATCCTTGCCCTCCCTTGTGACAAACCACATGCTCTCCCTAAAGATTTCTCCCAGGAGTTTCTAGAAGATGGCTCCCCTCTGCCTGGAATGTCTTGTGGTGGCTTTTTGCAAAAGGAGTCATTTGTTTCTGTTGTGCATACTTCAGATGGACCTGTTGGAGAAGCGGGGCATGGCTTCCTTGATCACTACTAGATTGATTTTCTTCTATCTTTACATATTGGACAAGAGGTTAGAGTCTCATAAAGAATCAGAGTTGGCAGGGCTCTCCTGTTCATTTAGTACATTGCAGTTATGTTACAGGTGAGGCCCAAAGAGGAGAGAAGACTTTCCCAAACAAGACAGACTGACCATATGGAGATCAGTTGTGGAGCCTGAGTCTTGCTCTAAGGGTCTACCTTATTCTACAATAGTGTCTATAGTTCACTGAGTTAAGGCAAGTGTAGACTTGCATTAAAAGCAGGACAAAGTCAGAGACCACACACAACAGGTCACTGGTGTCTCTTGGCTAAAGCACATTGCAAATGGGGAGGAGTGCTGGATTCTAATCTTTTCTCTGCCATTAACTCTCCTTGTATGCCCTTAAGCAAATCGCCTTGATTGGGCATTGGCCTCTCATCTGCAAAATGGAACTATGAGTCCATATGTGGCTTGCTCATAGCATTGAAGCTAAGAAGAACTCAAAGAGGTATCAGAAGGTCTTTAACAAATGTTTCATAGCCCTAGTGGGGATTATTATTAGTATATTGTGAAAATCTCATTGTGGAAACACCGAATTATAAATGGAGATTGGTTTTGGACTTGCTTTTGTTCTGGTAAGTAATCTAGACCATTGTTCTACAAATTCTGGATTTCATGGACCAAATATATTTCCCCAAAAAAATGAAAATCAGGGAATTGACCTAGAATGATCAGCTTTTTATTTTATCCATTGTAATCACTAAAATAAAACAAAAAATATCTCTGGCAGAAAGTAAGTCAACCTAATTTCCATCTTACCAACTTCCTGTAGTAAAAGGAAGGACACTCTAATACCAAAAAACTATATTCTCAGAGGAAGTTCTCCCTTAAATTAAATATAATTGGACATCTTAAAAAGGGTTTACTTTGTGCTTCTTTTTCCTATTCTGTTATGGATGGAAAATTTTTTTATTACGGGGTTAGAGTTTACTGTGTTTGGTAACCTTTGGTTGAAATACTCTATATGCAAGAAAACTGAGAACCAGAATGACTTAGGTAGGTCCCATTGTTTAATCAAAACTATTCTTGCCAGTGGGATCATGTTCATGTCAAAGAGTGCCTCCGCATCTCAAAATGAAAAGTTCTAGTCTTGGAAAGTCTGGGTAGAGGTGATAGTGGAAACACAGGAATAGGGAGAAGAAATTACATTTACACAGTGTGGGTTTTTTTTTTTTGCAAAATTATATGTGAATGTGTGTCACATGTTTAATTTAGACATCTAATTCTACTGGGGGCGCAGCAAATTCCAGCTTGTGAGCCAAATCAATCTTAGCACCTCCTTCTATGAATACAGCGTATGGAAACATGGCCATACCTACTCACTGGTGTATTTCTAGCTGTTTTAACACTATTGCAGCATAGCTGGCTAGCTGCCACAGAGACTTCATAGCCCACAAAGCCTAAAATATTTATTGTTTTGCCCTTTATAGAAAAAAGTTGCTTACCTCTGCATTATACTATGCTCCTTTTTACATTAATCTGTCTACATAGGCATTACAGGAATTTCTAAATAATGCCAGCTTAGATTGAGATATTGTTGACAAAATTGTGATTATGAGTCTGCCTTGAAAGATCCAGGATGTTTGTGTGTTAGGGCCTTTTGTTCCTACTTTCTAAGTTTCTGTGTGACAGGAAGTAGGAAAGGCAGAGCCAAGGGTATGCTGAAGGAAACTCTAAATATGATGCTGTCAGTGTCAGGAACTGTGTCCAGTCATCTTGGTCCATTAGTCCCAAGGGCGCCCATCTCCTTACCCTGATGTCTCTGCTGGCCAACCCCTTTCCTTTCCTTTTTTGTCTGAGCTGTCTGGTTACCCACCTGTCCTTGAGTTCCAGTGCTTACAGGACTGAGAGGGGGATTAATGTTCTCATGTGGAAAAGACACTGGATTTGAAATGAGGACCTCTGGATTCTAGGTTTGCCTTTGTATGACTTTGAACAAGTTGCTTCACTTGCCCTCTCTGAATCTTACTTTTTCTCCTTTGAGCAAATTAAGACAGGAATTAGATAATCTCAAAGTTTTTCATCTTTAAAGTTAATTGAACTCTGCATATCATCCCTCTGGGGCTAATAGATTAGGCAACGTGCTAATTAGTGACTTCAATGAACAGAACTGTAGGAGTGAAGGGGTTGTTTGTTTTCCTAAGTCCTTCACTTAATTGTGTATTTTGTCTATTACCAGTTATAGCAATACCTCCTTATTCACTGTTTTGCTTTCTGCAGTTTCAGTTACTTGTGGTCAACTATGGTCCAAAATATTAAATAGAAGTTTTCAGAAATAAACAATTCATAATCTCAAAATTTCGAGTTACTCTGAGTGAAATCTTGCACCATCCTACTCCTTCCTCCCAGAACTTGGTTGCTTTTTCTTTGGTATCTATGAGTGCATATACTACCTGCTCATTAGTTACTTTGTAGCCACCCTGGCTATCATATAGAAAAAAATGTAATATGTGTGTGTGTGTTTGTGTGTGTGTGTGTGTGTGTGTGTGTGTTTGTGTGTGTATAGTTTGGTACCACCCATGGATCCATGGTTTCAGTTATTCACTGGGGATCTAGAAATGTATTCCCTGCGGATAAGGGGATGCTTTCAACAATTACTGTGTGCTGGGGACCAGCAGTTAGTGTAATGGCTATGTCACTGAACTCCCATGTAATCAACCACAGTTCGAATCTCAGACCCCGTGGCTTAAACTCACGCCAGGCGCGTGTGCATGTGTGCCCAGGATCCCAAGAGGAGAATGGAGGAGAAGGGATTGCATCATGGCCATCCCCCCTGCGGGGTGATTTCTCACTTTCTATCTCTCTGTCTCTCTCTGTCTTTCTGGTGAGCACACATACCCTATAACAAAACAAAACAAACAAACAAACAAAAAATAAAAACAAAAAACCAAAAAGAAACAAAAAAAAATTACTTTGTGCTGATTGCCATGCCAAGCAATTTACAGAAGAGGTCTGATTGTCTGATTGGCTTCTCCAATACCTTGATCTGATGGGTATTATTAGATTTAATAGATTAGGAGCTGAGGTTTCCAGGTAGAGAAGTAGTGACAAGACTGATAACTATGTTTGCCCAACTCCAGGTTTCAAACTCTACAAATGCTGCTTTGTGTTCCTCTCAGTGTCCTGCCTATGCCAGATGTGTCATTTTCATTGGTGGGATTTGTATAGGGCTTGCGCAAGACTGTGGAGATATATCAACCAGGTGCTATTCAGGTGAACCTAGATGCAGCAGCTCAGCTCTGAGCAGCTCTCACCTCCACCTCCACTCACTTTACTTTTGCATGCAAAATGGCCATAGTATTTTTTTGTTGAAAATCAGGTACCACATCTTGTGATGTCACTGAGTTGATTCACATACACTCACTCCTAATTCCAAGATCTTACCTCCTTTAAGGTGAAAGATGCCAGGTGAATTGGGAACGGAGTCCTGGAAGAGAAGAAAAAAGTAGCATGAGGATGGCATGCAGTTGAATCATTTGAAACATTTCCTTTTTGATTGTTCTCAAAGTACAGGGCAATTTGGAATTCACCCTCCATCCTTTTTCTTTTTCTTTTTGCAAAGTTTATTTATGTATTTATTGGGTGAAAGAGAGAGAAAGTGAAACACCCAACAAAGTTTTGATTTCTTTATCTACCTCTGCCAGCCCAGATCATGGGTGTACTCAAAGAGGTCTCCAGATGCTAACCAGCAACCTTCTCAGGTGGCTCTGCCTCACAAAGAGCTGTGTTTTTGTGTTTTAACTCTGTGTCTTCATGGAATTCACCCTCCATCTGAACCCTTACATTTAAAAATTAATTCACTGACTTAGTTTAAAATGGGCTTCCTATTCGTTTGTTTGCTAATGTGCCTATCAAAAACACAAGACAGGATTGGTATACGTGTTTTACAGATGAGAAACATGGGGTTGAACAAGATAAATTACCTCAGATTTACACAGTAAATTTATGTAGGGACCAGAACTAGAACTCTGAGCTCCCTATCTGGTGCTTTATTTCTACCGCATGTGTTATTTTCCCCACCTTTATTAACATAAGAAAAATTGAGTGTAGTGTTTATATATTTTTCCCATGTTTGATCCAATTGTGAAAGCATGTTCTAAACACACCTGGGAAGGTACATCTCTAACTCTTCTGTGGTTGGAAATTCTGAATGAATTGTTTATGTGGCAAGCATTGTGAGCATACCATAAATACCTAAATTATGTCCTTGTCTTCCCTCATGGAAGTATTTCAAATATGTGTGTGTGTGTGTGTGTGTGTGTGTGTGTGTGTGTATGTGTATATACATATATGCATATATACACACATACATATATATACACATACATATATATACACACACATGAATGTATGTTCTATATGTATACATTCACTTTACATATTATTTATCACACAATAAGTATATCACATAATTAAATATATACATAATATTTGCACAAATAAGTAAGAAGTTGGTAAAACATTGTCTTTCTTGTTTTATTCTCATGAGAGAGAGAAGAGAACACATGTGTGCATGAAAGAGAGAGACAGGCACCCTTGACAGGGTCTTTTCATTCCATGATCCCCTTTCTCCACCCTTCCATCTGGTCAGGATCTTGGGCACACAGGCCCAGCATGGTTCAGATTGACTGGGACTCTGAACCTTGGGTCAGCAGTGTGGCTTCCAGTACTGAAGAACAGCATGCTACCACTTGCACCAGACGCTGGGTCAGAGTGTCCTTTTGAAGGAGGGAATCCTGAGCTGGGGAATTGGAGCAGATTGAAGGGCTATCTAGTGTAGATTAATGTAGGCGCTCTCAGTAAGTAGTCAGCAGAAGTGAGGGCCATTAATATGTTCCTCAGAGACTAACTTTCCCTTCTTCCTCTTTCTATTTTAGCCACAAAGACACCCTCAAAGTATTCTGGCAGTAAAGAATAAAATATTTATATTTAGCTTTTGACCTGCTTAGGTGGGATCTTCTGTAGGGCATTGAATTGAAATATTAATAAAAATCTAGAGATGTGCAAGCATTTACATGGGGGAAGTACAACTTCCCAACCTGTACCAAAGCAAGAACTTAGCAGCTGCTCACATCTTATTTTCTTAGTGCTCTGTGTAAACACCTAGGATGATGTAGAATTTCTCTTTTATTCTACCCTTTCTGTAGGAACTCTGTCATTTGCCTTCCATAGATGGCTTGTTTTCTGATAAATGGATCTCTTCTCTAGCCCCAGTGGATGATAAGGAGTCAAGGTCTTCCAAGCCAAAACACTCGCATAGTACCGACTAGGAGAGGGAAGAAGTTTACACATTTGGGGCTCAGCCTCTCAGGGGAAGGAAGGTGAACATGGCCTGAAATGTCCTTTCTCTGCTATACTATGCTATGATTTTATTGCCTCCATCAAAAGTTCTTAACCTAACTTACAATGCTGTATGTTTGTGGTCTCTCGATTACACATGTAGTTCGTAGGAAAACTTGATGTCACAAAATTCCCCTTTGCATTGCCTCTGTGAATCAACAAACAGCACTTCAAAATTCAATAAACAACTAATTTAGTGCCAAGCATGACTGTCAATTAGTGTGACGTGCAAATGCAAGGGGAAAACATGTACATTAAAATGTGGCACTACCACTGAATTCATCAATTGCCCAGGTTCTTATCCAAGAACGGGGAGAATGTTGAGGAAATGCTAGAGAATGATTCATTCAGCACACATTAAATGAGAGTCTGGTCTTTGGTAGCACTATATTACTAATTGGAAGACATTCTATGGATTTTATGGGTTAGTCTTTAAAGTGGTTATTCACAAGTACAAATATAGTTAGAATTGCAAATACGGCAAGGGCTAAAAAGAAAAAGAATCAGAAAGCTTTAAGATAGTGCTTCTAAAACCTTAATGTGCATAAAAATCACCTGGGGATCTTGTAAAGTTCAAATTCTAATTCAGGCCATTTGCATAAAGTTTGAGATTCTGTAGTTCTGAGAGGCTCTCAGGTGAGGCTAATGTGCCCAGCCCACAGAACACACTTCTAGTAGCCGGGCTATAAGAGGTAGTACCAGGGGGACTAGCAGTTAGCGTAATGGCTATTTCGCTGGATTCCCACGTAGTCAACTGCGGTTCGAGTCCCGGACCCAGTGGCTTAAAACTCACGCCGGGTGCGTGTGCATGCCCAAGATCCCAAGAGGAGAATGGAGGAGAAGGGATTGCAGCGTGGCCATCCCTCCTGGGGGGTGGTTTCTCGCTTTCTATCTCTCTCTCTGTCTTTCTGGCGAGTGCACGCACCCTATAGCAAAAACCTCTTAAAAAAAAGAGGTAGTACCAGGAAGGAGGACTTAACATATGTGGCAGTCAGGGAAGGTCACTTTTCTCCTTGTACTTTCAGTGCTTTCTGGTTTCCTAATATCCCACAGCCTATTGTGAAAAGCAAAGTATCCCAGTATGGGAAAGAATTATGTTGTATAAACCTTCACCCAGGGTCCAGGGAACTGAACATGGAAGTGTAACTATTCCTATTTAGAAGAGCTTGTGGATGAGGTCTCTATAGCTTCCCTGGGCTGCCTATGGTAGGCAAGATTAGAGAATCAAAGCCAGAGGGGAACCTAGACATATTTCAGTTCACCAAGCTAATTTTATAGAGGTGGACATTGAGTAATCAATAATAAGTGGCAGATCCTTCATCAAACTCCCCCTACTCCCCCCAGTGCACTTTCCACTGCCTGGAAGAGATGTTGTCTTCAGAAACAAGAAGACATTTTCCCTCCTTTCCCTCCCTGTAAGTGTCCTTGTACACATCGGAGGCTATAGAAGCAGAAAGAGATGATGACTCAAAATTTGCTGTAGACTGTTTATGCCTCAGGTTCTATGCTAAGTGCTGTCCATCAACTCTTTTTTAGGCAAGGTATCTCCCAGTCCTAGGATTGTCTTCCAAATACTACCTGAGGATTTGGGTCCTGGCTGTGGAAGTATAAACTATCTTGTCCAGTGATTTGGTTTTGAATATGATAGTGGATAGACTTGACACAGACACAGAAAAATGGACCCTCCTGGTTGTCTTTCTCAGCTCCACTGAGTGACTCAGGATACTTTGTCTCTATGGTTACCAACCAGCCACACTTCCTTAAGGAACTTTCTCAGTTTTTCTAGTCTCTTTGGATGTCTGAGGGGTATCCCCAATAATAATGAAGTTCTTTGTATGGAGAAAGGAACAAACATGTCTAAACTGTTTGTTTCCAGGTGACACGACCCATATCACAATCATTTTCCCAGTCAAGGACTGTTTTCTCCTCTCATTTAATCACCATGATTAGTACACTAATAATCTTTCCCTTCACTGGATAGTTGAGGACATAACAAAACATTGTTATATAGAGTGTTGGCAAGTGCTGAAAAATGGTGTCTATTCTGGGTACTGGTTTGTTCCTAATGATGTGCTTAATTGGCCCCAATACCTTGAAAGACTCATTTCTTTTCATAGAGCAGTGATGAGTAGGTGTAATCAGCTCCAGAATCTGCTGTTGAGACAAAATAACCTCACTGACTGAAAATCATCAAAGACAATACATGTTTGGAATATTTCAGGGGGGATTCTATATCTTCTTTCTTGCTGGCCTCACCATTGTCTTGTAAGAAAGGTCTGGTTGACTGGCATGGAGAACTTTGTCAGGAATGCTTCTTTTATTTTCAACATGATTAAACACTTAATGAGATTTACTCCTGAGGCCAAATGCTTTAGAGAATTATCTTATTTGGCTTTTACCTTCATCCCACAGGTTAGGAATTCACTAAGACTTAGAGAAGTGATTCAATAATTAAAGAAGGTTCCATGTATTGGAATAATAGAGAATGGATGTAAACTTAGGTGTGTTGACTTTCAAGGCAATGCTCTTCAATGCCCTGCTACTTTGCCTCTCTAGGTTAGGGTAGGATAAAGCTAGGCCCTTGAGACTTGATGGGACTGTGAATAAAGGCCAAAGAAAATCCCCAGGGGGAAAGACTATTTTTACTGGAAGCACCTAGTTTAATATGGTTTGTGAAAGTGGACTGGCATGACTTAAGTCAGAGTGTCTCCCACTTTAAGAGATTTAACCATCACCCAGAGATCTTATTAAAAATGCAGATTCTGGAGACCAACCAGGTGGCATGGTGGTTAAGGCAGCTGGATCCCACATGGCTGACTCTGTGGTTTGAGTGACGGTTCCAGCAGCTTGGAAAATATGCTGGGCATGAGTATGTGTGTGTGTGTGTGTGTGTGTACATACCCAAAATGCTGAGAGGGAAATGGAGGAGAAGGGATTGCAGCGTGGCAATCACCCAGGGAGTGATCTCTCACTTTTTTTCTCTCTCTTTCTCTATGTCTCTCTATTGTGAGAGAGCACACCCTATAGCAAAAACTTAGCAGTGCAGATTTGTAGGTCTGGGATGGGCCAGAGATTCTGTATTTCTATGAAATATCCATAACTACTTCTTCAAAAACAATTTTCAAGATGAAAATGGACATAACTATAACATATAATACAGTTTGTGACTTTAGCTCAAGTTCTGGATCCCCAAACCAAACAAAACACCACAGCTATAGAATATATGTTTGGATAAGTGAGCAAATTAAAATTTGAACTTTATATTGTTGTTAGATGATGTTACTGAATCAATACAAACTCTCCTGGCTATAAAGATGGTACTGTGGTATGAAAGGTAAGGTGCTGAGTACATGAGTGAAAAGTAATACTGCCTACAATGTTCATGTACATAATTTAGGTACAGAGAGAGCACAAATATGGCAAGATATTCTCACTTGGCCAGTCTAGGTGAAAGGTTGTATGGGTATTTACCATCCTATTCTTCTGTAAGTTTGACCATTTTCAAAATAAAACTTTGGGCATAAGACATGCTCCTTTAGTTTGTGGAGGCTTAGATTCTGTTCTAGCTCTTCTACAAACACCTCCTTCACCTTAAGCAGAAATTACCTCCCTCTCCTTTGGTTTGTGGCATTCTGCCCAGAACTGAACTTCTTGGTGTTTGGACTGCATCTCCTCCATTTATCAGAGAGCTCCCAGAACTCAAGGGCCATGCCCTGTCTCCTGGGGTCTTCCCTCACAGTCCAGCATAAGGCTTGATCCCAAAAAAATTTCAGTGAATTTTTTTTATTTATAAATGGAATGAATGCCCAATAGAGAGAGTAACTTGACTAGAGGCAAGTGTCACAGGGTGTTTCAACTCACACTTGCAGGGTATCTGAGTTTCAAAACAAACTGAAAAAACCACACCGCCACCACCACCAGCAATCACTACTCTTAGACAGGTGCTCAGCTCCACTGTTGATGGGAGATAGAGTGGTACTATAAAGCTAAATTTAAAAAAAAAACTTTTTTTCTCTTGCTTATAAAGGGAAAGGAGGTAGTTGCTTTCTCTTTCTTTCTAGAAACAGTGTACTTCTTGAAAACCTCGCTCTTGCTTTAAACTTTTGGAATGTAATCATTGACATCCTCTCCTGGGGCTTAAATAAGCCCAATCTCCTGGTTGACAAAGCAGAGATGTCTCTAAGGTTTTGAGCCTGAGAACCCCTTTTGAAATGTAAACAGCTATTTCTGGTGTTAACCTGGGAATCTATCTCATTAATGTATTCCTTGTCTCTTGAGTTGATAAAAGAAACATTACGGATTTTTCTTTGCTTTGCTGTATAAATTGTGTACTCTCTCATCTTGACTCCATAGTCTCTTGCTAGCTACTTATATGCATCTACTGCATGTGTACTCCATGCAAAATCAGTTTTCTTTCTTTCTATGTTTATTAAAGGGGATGTCGCTACTGGTAGGACTTCTACTTCTTCAAGGGTATACTAGAACAATCTCTTTGTAGACCGATTGACAACATTTACTGAAGTAAAAATACACATTCTGTCTCCACCACTAGAGATTTATCCCACAAATATACTTGCAAACATGGTCAGAGAGCAAAAATTCTAGAGAAAAAACTAGTGTGTCTTACTAGGCACAGACAAAATAAAATACGAAGCATTGGTGTAGTAGAATACTATGTGACTCTTCCAAAGGATGAAATGGGCTCAGCTGTGGTGGAGCCATTTCAAGATACTGGAGCTATAAGCTCGGATCTCACAAGGCAAGCCCATGGGCATACCCATGATCCTGGCTAATTGGAGGCTGGGTGGGATTGGGGACCTCAGTGTGATGAGACCCAACTGGAAGTGCCTCTCTCTCTCAAGAAAAAAAGAAGTGTGTATATATATATATATATATATATATATATATATATATG